TGTTGAAACAAGGTTTTCAAATTTACAGTGAATGTAACAAAATCAGTCTTATTATTTATTTATATCAAATGGCAGGCGTTTTGATGGTTATCATTAGCCCTTCAAGCTTCACAGAGTGTAAGGAACACTAAAGTGAAAAAAGTCGAGATTGAGAAAGGGGGAACAGAAGAGTGTTTCATAGACGAAGGTAGAAAAAAGGTGAGGTAAGTACTGTGAAAGTAGTCGAATATGATATACAGTGGGGTCATGGTAATTTGAAGTCAGAAGTCAACTGCCGGTTTATAGACTTTTTTGCCGTATGAGTATACGTTGCCCAGGGTGCACCACGTGGAGGTAAGTCTATCGCACAACCCCTCATTCTTATTATAAAATCGAAGGACTTACGTTTTGTAAGCTTGAATATCTTCTAATAAGTCTGAAATCTAGAATTTATTAAGTGACACGAGTGTTTGCCTAAAGTTCTCAAATGCACGTACAGAAGATTAGGTATTGGCGAATACAGACGGAGACAAAAGAATTTAGTTGCACTTAGGCCTATCGTGTCTCGTAGAGTGTTTATTTTGTAGTCAGAATTTAGGGATCTGCACATCAGTATGGGAAGTTTTCACGTAAACACTATCAAGGATAACTTTTGCAATGATTAAGCACTTTGGGCTTAATTATAAGAGAGGTCCAACTTTATGTTTCTGTTTTTGAATAAATTGAAGCGTCAATGGGGAGTGAGACCTAAATAGTTGCAATAGGGTACCTTATATACAAGGGAGTTGGAATGCCACAAAGTGGACGAAGAAGTAACCATGTTGCTAAAATCCCAATTTCAAATATATCAGTACGGGATGGTATTGAGCATATTCTTGAACATGACTTCCCACTAGTCGACTATGCGCCAAAGTACTCCCTTATGGAAGGGGAGGATGCGAGGACAATCAACTTCCATCACTTGAGTGGCAGCACATTGTTTTCAATGCGAACATTTGATAGAAAAATTCATATCCTCTAATTATACAAGTTAATGAAGGTATCGAGTCAATAAAACCATTTAGATAATTAGTGAATCTCATTAAGAAAATATTATTTTGTCCTCAGACCAATTTGATTAATATTTGACATTTGTCCTTACTTTATGCTTGCTCAAAATAATTTATTACTACTTAGAGTACGTTATTTCATTGATTTCCAGTTCCTCAAGAGACACAAAAGAAGACTGATGAAGTAGTTGAAGAGGCAGATGATGAGGAGGAAGAGGAGGAGGAAGAGGAGGAGGAAGAAGAGGAGCCAGGAGAAGAGGGAGTAGATCTTTTAGCAACGGTTAGTGAAGAAGATCCTGTACCCATGGATATGTCAACAGCCATCCCTGCATGGAGTTTTCGTTCCTCTACAATGCTTCTCCCAGTCAATTGTGCTATCGCTGTTGCCAGTAATACTCGGTGGCCTGGAGCTTATGCTCTTGCTCGGGATAGGTAAGAAAAGTCCTATTCAATATTAAAAATATATCATATACTCTTAAAGGAAAATGTTAATACCCAAGGCATGATTAAGACAAGAGGGAAAATGAAGTGGGTTACAAATTACGAGGCCATAGTCCATTAAAATAGTTTCATTCGTCGCTGATTCATCCATTGAGCCTTCGTGACTCCAGTATTTAGAATGCTTTCTTCAATAAAGTTTCGGAGATAGAGGAACCAGATTTAAAGATGGAAAGAGACGAATGAATGTGCAGTGGAAAATGGAGTACAGAAGTCACGTTATTATATCTTTTCAATCGATAAAACGAGGCGTTCCGCTAACTATTTCATTGTAAAAGCATAGTTACCGAGACAGAAAAAAGTACTTTTACATTTGGTGACTGTTAAAATTCCCAAGGGGCTTGATAAGTATAGCCTCATGTGCACCTCAATGAACACTCGTCGATTTATTGTGGCTATTCTTATCAGCGATTCTTCTAAGATATAAACTCGGTTAACTCAGCAATTCAAGAATATACTTTTCTGCATAACACCCTTACACTTTGGTGCGCAAAATAAAGATTTATGTTTGTAGGTCAGAAAGAAGCCGTCGTTTTGCCTGTAAATCTCCTCCTATTTTTTCTAATGCTCATATCATATATTAAGTAGTTTTGGTAAAATTCAGTGGGGAATATATGAATTTTTACTGCACAATAATTAGAAAAAGTATGAATTAATGAAATATAAAATGAGACTCTAAACCAGTTCCACCTATTTTGCATGATTATAGGGCATTTACAAATGTTTACCTGGGTTGGGGCAAAAAGCATATTATCAATGGCAGTAAAGTACCGGGACCACCTGAATTCTTAAAGGAGTTCGACGATAAATTAGGAAACTTGATAGAGACGAGCGATCCAACAGAGCAAGAGCTCGAGGAAGCTCGGCTAAGGCGTCAAGCGCGAGAAGCTGCGAAGATGGATGAAAGTGAAAGTGAAGAAATGGAAGAAGAAGAGGAGACGGATTGAATTACTCATCTTACATGAAGTTGTTACTGTTAAATTTGCATAACAGTTTTATTAATAAATATCTTATTTACGTGTCTTTACTTCTACATTTTAAAAGAATTTCAAATAAGATAATCATTGCTTATTCAAATAAACCATGCATAGTCTCTAGTTTACTTATTGTGGCATAGTTTCCAGTATAGTCTATTGTGTTTTCGCCGGTTTTTAATTCGATGACATAGTCTTAGTCAATAAGAATTGGTAGAAGATGATTAAGCGAAGATTTTGGTATATTACCATGAGATATTTTTAGAGATTAATGACGCCTAGGCATATTAAAGGAAAATTTTTAAGATCCCGATTGCCTAAATTCTCCCATAATCCACGAATATGAAGGTAATCGATAAATTACTAAACAATGCTATGCTTTATTTCAATCTAGTTTTGACTACAATGAGAAGAATATGTTGAAAACAATAAATCATACTGATTTAAATTTGGGATGAACTTAAAAAATATAATTTGCAAAGAGCAATTAAAATTCGTAAGAAGATTCTTGGTAAATAACGTTAGGAAGCCGATTAGTAGCAACATTTTAATCGAATAGCGTTAAAATATTAAATATATAAAATTTAGAGCAACTAATGATGAAGAATAACCATTTATTGTTTCAAAATAAATTAGTTCAAATTTGGCCCTATTAGTGGGTAGCAAGTAATGTCGTAGATGAACTGATATTTATAGTTCCTATCCAAAAGATATTCACCTAAAAATTTACAGTGCTACATATTATATTTGAATATCCAATTTAAATTTTATCTTTTTAATATTTAATTTCAAATCGTAATTTGCAATCACAACTCTAATTGTTTACACGTATCAAGTACAGCTTGACGGGTTTAAAATTATATTGTGCTCCTTCGTTGCTTCTGTGATTTCCATTCATTGGTTAGATTCCCTCTTATAGCAAGTTGAATATTTCTAAACTAGTTTGTGCAATTTAAAATAGATTCTATTTTTCATTTTGGTTGAAAATTTTATTGCTTATTTGATTGGCAATATCTGGTTTTACGTTTCTCATATTTCCCTGATTCGCCTGAATGCTTCAAGTGTTGCAAAAATATTTTCTTAGTGTAATTTATGTCATAGCAGAGGCAATATTAGCTTTATACTGCTTAAACTAAAGGAAGCCGGGGTTTTAAATTGCTCCAACTTTCTTTAATTGACTTATCTGTTTTAATAGATTTTGTTTTCATAATCCTCAGAAATCATGGCCGATAGTGCTTCCGAGTTGGATCTCGAGTCTGACGCCAGCTCAATCGACGGTCACACAGGCAGGTGTGAGCAATTAACGCGACAGGTAGAATTACTAACTCAACAAAATCGAATGCTTAAAACTGAAGTTGATCAGCTTAACCTCCGAGTTAAAGGCCTGGTGGAAAAAAACGAACAACTTCGTCGAAATAGTGTTTCTATTGTAAGCAGTTCATTTTCAGATAATTTCCTTCCCTTTAGCTAGCACAAGCTGAGCGTGAAGAGGAGTACATTAGCAATACATTGCAGCGTCAAATTTCTGAGCTCAAGAAGGATAAAGAATCTCTCGTTGTAAAATTTGAGGAGGAAGAAGAAAGGCTTATTAATGAGTTAAATCGCAAGCTTAATCAGCTGCAAAAGGACAAAGATAGGCTGGAAAGGACGCTTGCTAAAGAACAGGAAGCTCAGGTGACCACTTTGTCTTAAAATATTATTTGGTGTAGAAAGGAACTTCGATTATTACGCCTTTTTGTTTTTTTAGGTAAATAAGCTAAAGCATCGAATTGAAAGACTCGAGAGTGAAAGTGGATTTAAACAGCAGGTTTTGGAGCGACTCCGACGTGAAAAGGTGGAATTAGAAAATGCTCTTGAACAAGAACAGGAGGCTTTAGTCAATAGGCTGTGGAAAAAAATGAAAAAGCTAGAGGACGAGAAACGTATTCTTCAGGTAAACTTAAAATTTTTAAATTCACTTATGGTTTCGTTCAATTGTTTTTTTATAAGGCCTATGGGTTTAGATATTTCAAGTAAGTGTAATGTGGCTTATAGTATATTCGCCTCGTACGATGGAAACAAAATTATTCCATTTTTCTCGTTTTTTGAGTGTACTGTAAATACCAAGCTAATTTGGTTGGTTAATTAAAAATTATTTAACATATAGTTTGTCAGAAAGTGAATTATCTTATCAGTTGTTCAAACGCCTCACTCTGGACTGAGCGCATCTGGGGGTAGTTACGGGATCGATGCCCAGTTAGTGGAATGGTCAGCTGTATTGATTGGGTTCTCGAATTTCTCATCTAGAGGTTCCACGATGTCTAACTCTTTCTGAAGATGAGTATTGAAAAATGCCTCTAAGTGGACTTGGAAGTTATGAGTACTACAATGAACAAGGCAATTAAAATTTTAAATTTCTTTTATTACCAGGACAAATTAGAGAGCGTTAGTGCGCCACCTTCAGAAAGTCCCAGCGTCCAGAACATATCTGCAGCTCCTATTTGTACCAACCAACATCGTCATTCTGCGGGAGGTTCACTACGTGGCTCTCTTCGCAACACTCCTCTCGGTACTGGTGATGGATTGGACGGATTTGAGTCTGATCAGGGCACAAGTGGTCAATTATCCCGCCATTCTCTTAGTTGTGGTTGCAGTGGCGCTAGGGGATCTCTTAACTTCTCTACTAGCCCCCGTCCTCCTCAGAGCCCCATGGATTTAGATGGTATGTTGATTTCTCTGTTTAATAGTACTTATTTGAAATAGTCAATCATAGGTTGTGTCTTCTTGATGTTGTCTCCTTCCGTTTAAGTTGGCTATAATATTTGCTCAGCTTCAAATAATCGCTGAACTTACACTCTTTAGTCTCGAACGAATGTTCGACAACATGATAAGTAATCACGTTGGTTATTTCAAATTGGTAACAACTGACAAGATAGTATTCGGGGATGAAGCCATTGGCGGACTCAGATTGCTAGTTGGTTAGTCTGAGCTAGGTCGCAATATATTCGTGATCGCCTTTTTTAAAGATTAAAAAAATGAGTTCTAAACAGTTTCTATTTACTTTCCTATGAGTGGTATTCCACTTAGTTTGTTTGATTTACTTGACTTACTACTAATACACCTTTTTACTCAGAATGGCAGACATATTTGCTTGTTTCTTTTATTTCGATCAAAAACATTTCTTCTCTTCAAAAGCTTCAACATACTCTTTAAGTCGTTGCTTTTTTTATGAGAAAAAGCATGCATTGGTATGTTTTCTTAGGTTATGTGTTTCAAAATGCGCATACATTCAGCCTTGATGGATAACTTATTTCTTAAGAATGTGGTAAATGAACACATTTATTATTATGCAATTAAGCTATATAGTGATTAGCTTTGTGTCCTGTGGTGGATAAACGATTTCTATCATTTTGAGCTAGTATAGTAGTTTGAATTAGCGTATGGAGACTAATTAGAAACCTCAACTAATGGGAATGAAGTGAATTAAATTTGACAGCATAAAGTGAGTACAACCCTTGCAGAAGCAGTCACTGAATTGAGCATTAATTAACATTGAGCATTCAGGAAGTTTCACGGCCAAATATGGGCCAAAATAAATTACCCATTGGAATTTCATATAAAGAAAAAATTAGCATCCGACAAATTGGAAGGGTTAAGTATTATATTTTCTAATTTTTCTTTTACTACATGTTTGGAGGCTAAAGGAATGAAATTGTCTTTGTTTCTTATTGCATCTCTTCTCTGTGTTTTTCGCTTTGTTAGTTATTTCTTGTTGTTGACATGGAGTTGCCAGTTATTCTTTCTTTAATGGCCTTCTTTTCTTATACCCCCCCCCCCATTCGCATCAATTTCACCTTATCACAATCTAAACTGATTTCTGGTTAGCGTTTGAACATTGACTCATTTTTCATACTCTGTTTGAAATTTGGTTTAGATGCAATCATATTGAATAGCTGCCTATTTAATTATTCCGCAATTTTTGTGGCTTCTCTCTGTTTAATTGCCTGTATTTTCTTTAAACTTGTTAACTTGTGGAAAAGTACTTTAGTTCCATTTCGAGGCTTAAGACTTAAACAACCATTTCACTTGCTACGTACACTACGAGAAATGACCTCGAGTTTCTTCATACTTCCTGACTGTGAATAAAGCCACACAGTGAATTATGGCATTTAATTTAGGTGTGTTCACTTACAGTAGTTAAAGGGAAACAAACAGTGTCAAACGAGCAGTTTAATTGGCGTTTCATTTTTTTATTGTGGAAAGAAAATGTGCTAAAAGGCCAAATTGGTTGACTTTTTGTGAACATTTTGCTGACATTAGTGATTTTCATCTTAATAACACTTCCATATAACTCATTCCATATTGTCACGTGTCTGTTGTAATCAAAACCAAGATAGTACTTAATTAACATTGGGAGGGAGGGAGGTGGGGGTTGAGAGGGGGTGTAAGAAAGAGGCCGCCTGCAGGCTTTCAATTCGCTTACTAGGGAGGAGGGATGCATAGAATTCGCTCAGACGTGGAATATGACTGAGGGTGGGGTTTAGACGTACGATCAAAATAAATTTATGATGGATGTGATCCTACTCTAAAAGACGGGTTATGTACAGCCTGACAATAGGTATGTATGTATGCCAATGAATGATTTGCTAACACGGGCTATTGATCATAAAGTTGGCTTTACTCTAATTGTTCATGATACTCAACCTTCTCATGTGCACAATATTCGCCCTTCTGTAGTCGAATATATATTAAGGAACCCGGTTGAGTACTAGGGGAACTGCATACCCCCATATTAGCTAGGCAGTATTTTGTTGCTTTCTACCAAGTTCTAGGCTCATTCGTAACTATTGCTGACTGAAATTTATACTTTTTTTTTCAAAAAATCTTGAGTTGCTGAAGTTATTGTCTAATTTCGCTTTTGGTATCTATTGTTGTGTGTGTGCGTGTGTGTGTTTGTTGGTTTGTTTTTGACTAACACGCCCAAAATATCTGTCTTCGCTTTGAATAACACATGCATGTGGTGAAATTACCTCACTAGTTCGGCATCCTATGCACCCAATTCGCATTAGCATGTTAGTCTTAATTAAGACTGTTATTCCTTGTTAAAGGTTGAAGCCTAAAGGGTTTATTTTCCCAGCAATAGCTTTTATTAATTCTCCGTGCCACGTCAGCAATTTGGTCGCTTCTTGCCCTCCTACCTGATCGCGGTCGTTGAAAAGCCCACTTTTCCAAATGTGAATTTCAAATATTATTGGTATTAATATTATTATTATTAATTTTAGGCGATTAGGGGATCGAGACAAGTTGGAATTTTTAATAGGCGCCTTTAACTTGGACATGATTGTGAAATTTCGAAAATTTTGTATGTTGGGAGGTAAATTTTTCTGGCAAGGTTTTTGATTGTTTTCGCTTTTCATGTTAAATTCGTTTGAAATGCGGACTTTCGGAGGTTGTCTGGGCTTACTTCTGTATGCTATTTCTCGTCAATCTTGTAGTTAGGGAAGCAGCATTCCTTGAAGAAAACGATAAAGGCGAAGATAGAGAGGTCACTGCCAAAGTACCAGAGAGAGTCTTACATTGTCTAATCTTTTAGATTTGGGTTGCACAATTTTTTTGATAAATGGGCAGCTTTTTTGTTCTATTCAATTTCCATGTTTCTTTATCAAATAGAATCTTCTTCTAACAGTCAAGAAGGTGTGTGTATGATCTCAGGTGATATTCCACAATTTGGGATTTTTAATTAGCTTATCCCCATTGTACCCACTTACCAGTTGAAAAAATCCTTCATCAGGAGATACACAATTTTGCGAGATCAGGTGTTAACTTCGACATCAGTTCGTAGGACTATTAGATAGATTTACCTCCACGTGGTGCACCCTGGGCAACGTATATTCATACGGCAAAAAAGTCTATTGACTGGCAGTTGACTTCTCATCTCAAACTACCATCACCTCACTCTATGCCATATTCGACTATTTCCACAGTACTCGCCTCACCTTTTTCACTCTACCTTTGTGTCTGTCTTTTTTACATCTTTAAAACACTCTTCTGTTCCTCCCCCCCCCCTCTCGACTTTTTTCACTTGGATGTTCCTCCTCCTCTCTGTGAAGTCTGAAGTTGGCTAAAGGGCTAATGATAACCATCAAGACGCCTGCCATTTGA